AGATTTCTATATCCCATCTTGTAATTTTGTGCCCCCCACCCCTCTTGTCTCAACCTCCTCCTGCCCCCAAACACCAGCCTTTGGACTCACCCCATTAATGTACATGTTCATGTCCCAGAAATCCATAACTTGGGCCATGAGAGAGGCTCGTCATCTCCCTAACTCTACATTCAGCATGTGGGATGTCTGGATTGCCTATGGGATGGTTTCACTCCTTTTGATGCAACCGTATCCTGGGCTGCATCCAAAGGAGCGTGACCAGCAGGTCCAAGGAGGGGATCCTGCCCCTCTGCTCTGCTCTCGTGAGACCTCCCCTGGAGCATTGTGTGCAGTTCTGGTGTCCTCAACATAAAAAGGACATGGAACTGTTGGAACAAGTCCAGAGGAGGCCACGAGGATGCTCAGGGGCTGGAGCAGCTCCTGCATGGAGATAGGCTGAGAAAGTTGGGGCTCTTCAGCCTGGAGAAGAGAAGCTGCATGGAGACCTCAGAGCAGCTTCCAGTGTCTGAAGGGGGCCTATAGGGATGCTGGGGAGGGACTCTTCATTAGGGACTGCAGTGACAGGACAAGGGGTAATGGGTTCAAACTGAAACAGGGGAGTTTAGATTGGATTTAAGGAAGAAATTCTTTCCTGTGAGGGTGCTGAGGCACTGGAATGGGTGCCCAGGGAGGTTGTGAATGCTCCATCCCTGGCAGTGTTCAAGGCCAGGTTGGACGAGGCCTTGGGTAATATGGTTTAGTGTGAGGTGTCCCTGCCCATGGCAGGGGGGTTAGAACTTGATGATCTTAAGGTCCTTTCTAACCCTAACCATTCTATGATTCTATGATTCTGCTGGGTTGAAGAAGGCTGGTCATGCTGGATCAGTGTTGCACTGCAGGAAATAATTGAGAGGAAAAAGAACCACCACCATCATCTTCAGATGATGAAGAGCCCTCTTTGGGGCGCACAGGAGTTCAGTGCTGAGTACCAGAGATTGTATTCCAAGGTGGATGATGATTCTGTCCGGCCACATCAATTGGAGCCACTTCTTTGCCTGGCCAAGTTTACTTTTTTCCACAGAAACCTGCTGTCAATAGACCTCGAATTCACCCAGTTTCCCTGGTTATCCTCAGTCAGGCTCTTGCTACCAAAGACTGCCGTGGGGGACCGTACACCCAGCATCAGCTGAGAGAAGCAGGTAGTGCTTAACACACATGATGCCCATACACATGAAGAGAGCTTTCACAGTCTGTTGTCTCTGTGTATGCTTTTGTCTTCAAACACAAAGCATCCCATTGGGTATAAGCTGATGTTCATTTACCTCCTGCTCTGGGAAATCCACTCTCTGGCCAAGGCAGCATCTTTGAGTGTGGTGCCAGGGAGCTGGAAACGCCGGATGTGCCCACCTGAGCTCACACACAAACATGGCACTGGGCAAGCCCTGGAAACACAGAGGTCAGCACTGCACATGAGCGTGTCTTTGTGCCAAAGCTGCATCTCCTCTCTCAGAACATCAGCAAGTAAGGAAAGATTCAAAGGACTGCTGCTAAGACAATACTGGTAACAAAGGTTCTTGGAACAGTGCAAATAGGCTGGAAGAGCCTCAGGGAAGGCCGAGCACGTGTGGGCAGCGCTGCCCTGAGAGAGGCCCAGAGCTGCAGCAGGCTGGAGTTAGGAGGTCTTCACAAAGACCGGCACCTCTGTGAGGCCAGCAGAGTAGTTCCTGAGGATGGTGCCTCCGTCGAACACACGGGCAGTGGTGGTGTCCATCCAGAGGTACCCCTCTCCGGGCAGGTAGATGTCCCTCCACGTCTGCCCTTTGTCTGTTATTGGGGCAACCAGGACCTGCAGTGAATAAGGAAAAGGGAAACGTGGCACTTGGAGGATCAGCCAGGACGTGCACCAAGCAAAGCTGAAGGGACAAGCAACCACAGAGGAGGTCAGGAAGCCTGGCTCTTAACTGCAGATGAGTGTCCATCCATGCCACAGCAGAGGTAAGCACAAAGCTCCCTGAGCTGTGCTGAGCAAAGACCAGAGAATCACGGAAGGGTTTGGGTTGGAAGGGACCTTCAAAACTCATTGAGTCCAATCCACTGCAGTGAGCAGGGACACCATGAGCTAGGTCGGGTTGTCCAGAGGCACATGCAGGTGGGTTCAGGCTCCCACAAAGCAGCTTCTGAGAAGGTTCTATGGGATTGCAGTAGGAATTGGTGGCACTGAGTCAGGGTGAGAGACATCCCCAAGCCATCTGTGGCAGAGTTGGGAATTTCCCTTTCCTCCTGTGCTTTGGAGGATTCGATTCAGGCTGACTCTTTGATACAACTTAGTGAAGCCAAATATAACCCAGTATGAAACCAAGGAGAAACTTGTATTTCAGGTAGATACGAACATGTTCTACCTGAATAGGAAAGATTGGAAAAAGATAGGAAAACGATAGGAAAAGAGCTTTAGCTCCAGGCTGCTGAAAAGGATTTCAAAACCCCTCTCTTTGGGCTGCTCTGCAGGCAACTTAATGCTCTCGTCCCACCTCCCTTCCCACCCTTCCTCTCCTGCATCTAGGAGGAGGATTTCTTTCCACCTCTCAGACTAATTGAGTGTTACAGGTTAGAGGTGAGGTAGCATTAAACCCTAGGAAAAGGTGATGCTCAAAAGACACAATGTGATCAATACCATCCTGAGCAACGGATGCACTCAAGGCTCCTTTGGGAGACTCAAAGGATTTAGCTTCCCAGCACCCTCAAACGGTCATCAGAATCCCAGCCAGTGGTCTTGGCATAGGGATGATTACATTGAATAAGTATATAAAAGTAAAAGCGTGAACAAGTTGCTCTTGGGTCACAAATCAGTGAGCCCCGTTTGGACTAGAAGCATAAGGAGAGGTGTGCTCTCTCTGCTCACTCCTTCCCAGTGACTTAGCCAAAGTAATCCAGTCCCAAAGGACTTTAGGGATCCTTTCTCCCCTTGCTTTATGGGAAAAGCAGTCTCCAGCATCCTGAGACTATTCCTGACAAATCACTTCAGAAACGGAAAGAGGTTTTGCAGGAAGAGCAGAGCTCTGGTTCAGTTTAGATCTGATTGAACACTGAGGCTTTGATTTGTGTTTGTGCACAACTGGGTTCTAAATCAGAGAATGATCTGGGTTGGAAGGGAACCTAAAGTTTGTCTAATTCCAACCCCCTGCCACATGATGAGGAATAAAGAGGTGATAGGAAAAGATTGAAACTCTAGAAAGGCCATTAAAGGAGGGGGGGAAAAGGCTAAATAGTGAAAACTGGATATGGAATTCAAGGATCAATCCCCCTCTTAAACCCTATTTTTGGAGGTCTTGGTCAACAACAAAGAGTAAGTGCTAGGGATTCATCCCTGCCCCCCTTAGTGATGCTTCTTGAGCCACACAGCAGCATCATCCCAGGGAGAAGTCCTGGCGTTTGGAACATTTGGGGGGACACTTTTGGACCCTTCCCAGCCTTCATAAATGTATTTGGCGGCCACACTTGGCTTTCCCATCTCCTGCAGCATCCCTTTCGCCAGGCAGATGGCACTGACAAGCAGCCAGAAACCACCGCACGACACAAACCAGCAGGGCTTGGCTCTTTGCTATGGTATTTCCACATGCTTTGCTGGAAGGATTCAGCAGTGCTCTGCTCCAGTTCCCTTCCCAGTAGTGAAGTTTGCTCATGAGTAATGCTGGAATGTGGCTGTGCAGTGTTAAATCCAGCTTCAAGACCTCAAGGATCAAAACCACCCTGACCACTGCAGTCCACCACTGCATCCAAACCTGCTTGCAGACACCCAAAGGCATTGCTGTCTGTCTGCTCAAGGGGAGATGATGCTTATTTCCCTTCATAGTCAGCAAAAACCTGACCTAAAACCTGCTTATGGAGCATTCTAGCACATTTAACAGATAGAGTGCCCGGCCTGATTCAGGTTGCTCGTGCCAAGAGATCTGGAAGTGATGAGTGTACAAATCACAGCCTGAAAATCAGCTTTCAGAGCGGGGCTGTCCCAGCCCAGGGTGACCCCCCCAAACCACCTCAGGTGTGACTCAGAAGCAGGAAGGCATCAGGAATCGATCCCAGACTGGTTTGTGTTGGAAGGGACCTTAAATCTCACCCACTTCCAACCCCCTGGCATGGGCAAGGCACCAGAGCTGTGCTCATCAGCATTGCGGCAGCTGCTTGCACTGAGTGGTGATGCTCAGAGGGTTTACTCCAGTGTCCTGCCCTTAGTCCTGCCTCAGACTGTACCAGGTCAGAACCACACTGTGTATTCCCCAGGAGTTCATAGCTAATGATGCTCCAGTTCGCACCAAAGCTGGTTTTGGAGCGTGTTTCTGTTCCTGCAGCTTCCAAACCGCAGCTTGGAATCAAACCCTCCCCGTCTGGGCTCCCCACGCACAGGCTCAGGCTCTCTTGGAAAATAATAGCAATAATGATTAAAACCTGAAGCCAGGGGAGCCTCTTGCCAGCCTCACCTCCTGCTCTCTCACAGCAGCCCGGCCCTGACCCCCTTACAGAGCAGACACCACATTTTACCATACTTCAGGAGCGTTCAGCCAAGCCAAAGCTTTGCACCTCGCAGGGGACAGAAGCCTGAAGCTGCTCTGACCCTTTACTGTCTTTCCTCCCTGAGCCTGCAGTGTTCAATGGGGAATGTCAGCTAACACGAGCACACTCCTGCCCTGCCTGCCGGAACCGCATCAGTCAGAGCAATCCCAGACAGCTCCAGGCTAGGCAGGGAAGAGATTCAGAGCAGCCCAAGGAGAAGGACTTGGGGGTGCTGGTCCATGAGAAAATGAACATGAGCCGGCTTCAGTGTGCGCTTGAGCCCGGAAACCAACCCTATCCTGGGCTGCATCCAAAGGAGCGTGAGCAGCAGGTCCAAGGAGCTGATCCTGCCCCTCTGCTCTGCTCTCGTGAGACCTCCCCTGGAGCACTGTGTGCAGTTCTGGTGTCCTCAACATAAAAAGGACATGGAACTGTTGGAACAAGTCCAGAGGAGGCCACAAGGATGCTCAGGGGCTGGAGCAGCTCCTGTATGGAGATAGGCTGAGAAAGTTGGGGCTCTTCAGCCTGGAGAAGAGAAGCTGCGTGGAGACCTCAGAGCAGCTTCCAGGGTCTGAAGGGGGCCTATAGGGATGCTGGGGAGGGACTCTTCATTAGGGACTGTAGTGACAGGACAAGGGGTAACGGGTTCAAACTGAAACAGGGGAAGTTTAGATTGGATCTAAGGAGGAAATTCTTTCCTGTGAGGGTGCTGAGGCACTGGAATGGGTGCCCAGGGAGGTTGTGAATGCTCCATCCCTGGCAGTGTTCAAGGCAAGGTTGGACAGAGCCTTGGGTGCCATGGTTTAGTGTGAGGTGTCCCTGCCCATGGCAGGGGGTTGGAACTCTTAAGGTCCTTTGCAACCCAAACTATTCTATGATTCCATTCTATGATTCCATGAATCAAGAGATTCTAGGGGAAGGGACTAAGTTTAAGCTTGCTCAGTTCAAACTAATACCCCATCAGTGCCCAAACAACCCTGGCACAGGGGCAAGGCCTCAGCCCCCTGTGACCTCTGCAATCACACAGTGCTGCTCTAGAATTCCTTTGTGCCAAAGATCTGTGTTCTAAAAGCTTCCCAGCGTAGGTCAGACTTGATGATTTTAAAGGTCTTTTCCAAGCTGGTTGATTCTCTCCGAGCTCTCTGTAAAGGCCTTTCTGCTCCTACTTAAAAAGCTGATCTCCTGCAGTGAATTTTTCCATAATAATAAAAATAAATAATAAAATCTATAAATGATTTCACATCTTTTATGGCCCAAAACTCATATGTGGCAATCGGGTATCGCAGCATCTGTTGGAGGCTGCAAGCAGAGCCTCGAAAGGTACCTCTGCAGCACAAGCTGCTTTCCTATTAAAACAAGGAACAAATGCCTACTGGGCTTTGCTTTGGGATGAGGATACTTATTCTATGGAGGCGATATCCCTATGATTAGCAGCATTCCCATGTAAAGACAGCCCAATGTGTTGCTGCAAAATGAATTCAGTAGCATGAACTGAAGAGTATGCTTTTAATGGACTAAAAAACCCAGGTAGGAACTGCCAAAGCCTTGAGCTGTTGGGATCCTGCACCCAGGCAAAGCAGGAGGGACAAAGCTAAAGTGATGCCATTGCCCAAACCGGAGGCTGCTTACAACCATGGGAGGATGAGGCACAGTTTCCTTTAAGGAAAGTCTTTTCCAGAAGGCCTGAGTTCCTTTTCCAAGCCCTTTTTGATATGAAGCAGCAGAGACCACATCAACTATCAGAGCATCTAAAGGAGCACTTCAGGAGCAGCAGTGGGATGGACACACCTGCAGGGACAGACTCCTGCTACATGACCACAGTGCGAGCACACCAGACTTGCAGGGAGCATTTACAGCATGAAACAACCATGCTGTAGCTTCAAGTAATGGGATGGACAGCCTGAAAAGAGGGGGGAAAGAACTGCTGACAATCAGGGGGTGTCTTCCAGCAGAAAGGATGGGAGAATATAAAAGCCTAAAGGAAAGAAGCCTTGTCAGTGACCCAATCTGAATAAATTGCAAAGCTGAAGGAGCCACAGGGTCCCACCAGCCCTATGGCTGCCCGCCATCTCTACCCCAGTGCTGTACTCAGGCAGGATGCAAAGAGAGGGATGGCGAGGGCCAGGGGCACCTTATTTACCCTGGGAGAGCATTCAGCCCCCCGTTCCCTACCTCATCTCCAATGAGGAACTCATCCTCGATAGTGAAAGCAGCTGGATCCGTGGGGCTGAGCCACCAGGCGGGCCGGAAGATGGGATATCCCGAGCTGAGCCATTCCGAGCTGTACTTGATGAGCAGCGGCACAACGAAGTCCCGGTGCCTCTGGATGCAGCGGCGGGTGAGGTTCAGGACCTGCAGCATGGGGGAGGAAAGAGAAACCTGTGAGCAGCTTAACCCACTAGAGCAAGGCAAGAATCTGCTGTGTTCTGGTGTCCTCAGCATCAGAAGGACATGGAGCTGTTGGAGCAAGTCCAGAGGAGGCCACAAGGATGCTCAGGGACTGGAGCAGCTCCTGTATGGAGCCAGGCTGAGAACACTGGGGCTGTGCAGCCTGGAGAAGAAAAGCTGCATGGAGACCTCAGAGCAGCTTCCAGTGCCTGAAGGGGGCTACAAGGATGCTGGAGAGGGACTCTTCATCAGGGGCTGGAGCGATGGGACAAGGGGTGATGGGTTCAGACCGAAACAGGAGATTTAGGCTAGATATAAAGGAAGGCACAGGGTGCCCAGAGAAGCTGTGGCTGCCCCATCCCTGGCAGTGCTCAAGGCCAGGTTGGACACAGGGGCTTGGAGCAAGCTGCTCCAGTGGAAGGGGTCCCTGCCCTGGCAGGGGTTGGAGCTGGAGGAGATTTAAGGCCCCTTCAACCCAAACCAGGCTGGGGTTCTATGAAAATGTCTCCGGCTGTTTACAAAGATCTTGAATGGGAATCTGTGCGCTTCGCTCTGCTGTAGATATGCAGTATTTGGTCAAGCTGTCATTAAACCATCCCAGGAGCAAAGGGAGGGACACACACACGTGCTGCTTGGTGTCATTTCTGCAGACACTGTGGACACTGTCCCCGTGGTTGCACAGAGCAGTGAAGCAGAAACCCACAAAAACATGGATTTTGCAGCAAAACCCCTGCTGAGAACACGCAGCAATGTGCCTGAGCAGGACTTTGTGGGCAGCAAGAGCAGGACAGGGAGTTTTAGCCTCAGCTTTCCCCAGTATAGGGACATTAACGGCCTGTGGGGGTGCCCGGCACACCAGTGACAGCGCATCCTCCTCGTGGGGCATGGGGTACGTACCCCGGCGTCGCAGCACAGCCAGGGCGGGCTGCTGAAGGCCATCACGGGGAGGAACGTCACAATCTGCAGCCACCTCACGTAGAGCTCCGTGTCCCCTGCGCTGGCACCGGCCAGGCTCCCTCCTGCGGGGACAAAGGACTCAGTGAAGGCACTCAGGGGCGCCTCAATCAATGGGTTCTCCATGTGGGCAGGACAAGTTACCCCACTGCAAGAGGAGCCGAGTTCCCCCCGTCCATGGTTTCCTTCCTTGAGCACCAGCAGCAAATATCAGGCATCCCTGTGAAGGCCAGGGTGGACACAGGGGCTTGGAGCAAGCTGCTCCAGTGGAAGGGGTCCCTTCCCGTAACAGGGGTTGGAGCTGGAGGAGCTTTAAGGTCCTTTCATCCCAAAGCACTCACTTTATGATCTTTGGCCGTTTTAGGACCAGATGTCTCAGGAGTTTCTACATTTAATCCGAACATACAAAAAGGGATTCTATTCCTGCAGAGAGAAGTGTTGGGGAGGTGCTGGGTTTTCCTGCCACGATGGTGTGCAAAGACAAAGCATCACGGGAGAGTACTCCTGTGATTCGGGTCCCTTCAATTCCATAGTGCACAGCAGTGGAGAAGCAGAGTATTGTCAGAAACATGCAGTGGAAGGGGATTGCAGTTGCCCTCTGAAACACTGTGGAGGGGCTTAGGAAGGGCAGGAGAGGATGGGAAGGGACAGGGAAAGGGAGATGGAGCCTTTGGAGCTGGAGCATCCTCGCTCCAAAAAGCTGGCTCAGCTTGTGTAGAAATGCCACATAGAAGCGAGCCAAGGGCTCAGCCAAACCCCCCACAGAGCCCCATTCCCTCCAGGGGCTCCTGGCATCCCGAGCAGCCCCTGGTGCTGCTGCAGCTCCCGGGCTGAGGTGCCGCAGCCCCATGGACCGCACAGCAGCGGGTTCAGCATCTCCGTGCTGCGACTGCCCAGGCCTTGCTTTCTAAGGAAAACTGCCTAAAACCAGGGGCCCAGTTGGAGGATTGCTCCCTGACCCCTTTACCAGGGCTCTCTGCAGCTCTGCCCCCTGGCTCCGACACCTCACGTGTTTGTGGTGCGTTTTGAACACGAACAACACGGTCACCTCCAAGAGGAGGGGCAAAGCGAGCTGCTGGGCTCCCATGAAAGGGTCGTTTCTGGCCTTTTAGGATGTTTTTGTTGAAGGATGCCTCGAGCATCGCGCTCTGGAGCCCGAACACAGCCTTGGAGCGCGGCTGCTGGGGTTTCAGGAGCATCCGCTTCCCATCCAGCGGCCTGGGCACACACTTCCCTGGCTGCAGGCTCCCTCTTGGCTTCTGCTGCTGGGGCTGAGCTCCAGGGAAGCTGCAAGGGGCAGGGAGCTGCCCTCAGCCTATGGGTGAGGAGCTCTGCAAAGGGCATCCCCAGAGACCTGCCTGCTCACTTCTACTGCCTGTTGGCCTTCAATCCCTCAGTGGATTCCCTGGTAGCATTCACCCCAATGCAGCCAGAACACGGGGTATGGAGAGCCAAGTGCTTCACGCCTCAGTGCAGCACACCTGAGCCACAGCTGCACCCCTCCCACCTCAGGTCCCACAGAGGTGTCTGCAGGAAAGAGATGCTGACCTACGTACCTACTGCATCGGGGATGAAGAAGTTGTAGCCCAGGAGGCTGTAGTGCAGCACAGAGGGAATAATCCCCTTCAGCCCAGCATGGCTCCAGTCTGAGTGCAGGGGGCTCATCTGGATGAAGAGAGGGAGGTGACTGGACCTGAGGGGCACAAGCACAGAGCTGGTGTTAGAGAGGGCCCACAGGAGATGAGGGTTTCTTCAGCCACTTGGCATCTCTACTGGGGCGAAATCACTGCCACCCCAGTGCTCTTCTTTCCCATCCAAGAGCATTTCTATGCCTTGGGTTTACCTGCAGGGGAGGAGAGGCTCATGTCAGCAAGCAGCCCAGTGAAGGAGACTGTTTCTGGTGGCCAAAAAGGGTCAAACATGGACCTTCACAATGAGCTTTAGTTTGAAAATGGTCAGGAGCTGATCTAACCAAAGGGGGGATTTGGCCTAAGACTTCTTGTTCCTGGAGTTTGGTTTCCTCCTTGTCCCCCCACTAACTTAGAATCATGGAATCATAGAATGGTTTGGGTTGGAAAAGACCTTAAGATCATCCAGTTCCAACCCCCTGCCATGGGCAGGGACACCTCACACTAAACCATGGCACCCAAGGCCTCGTCCAACCTGGCCTTGAACACTGCCAGGGATGGAGCATTCACAACCTCCCTGGGCACCCATTCCAGTGCCTCACCACCCTCACAGGAAAGAACTTCTTCCTTAGATCCAATCTAAACTTCCCCTGTTTCAGTTTGAACCCATTACCCCTTGTCCTGTCACTGCAGTCCCTAATGAAGAGTCCATCCCCAGCATCCCTATACCCCCCCTTCAGATACACGCTGGCTCCCCAGCGATCTCCAGGGACACTTTCATCTTAGGAGGAGTTAAGGCTGATGGGGTGGTTTATAGAAGACTTCTGCTACGGATGCTGCTCCCCAGGAAAGATATGATCCTGGATGGAGTAGAAGATGGTCAGGAAAGGCGCCGTTCCCACCACTGTGGTTTGGCAGGTGGCTGCGGGAGAGCCTGTCACCACCTCAGCATGTGAAACGTTGCTTGTTCTTCAAAAAGGAATGATTCTGAAGTTGCCTTCTTATGCAATTTACCATCAATGCCTCATCCCCACAGGAAATAAGCACGTTGCAAACAGCCCAACAGCCTTTTGCATCTGCCAGGCATAATCATGATGGGTAAAAAGACAAGTAATGCTTCTCAGTGCCTCGAACCAAAGGGCCTCGAGGGGTGTTACAAATGCTTATTAATACATTAACCCTGTTATGTGCTACACAAGCATGGGAAGTCAGAGAACTGCAGATGTTTGACACCAAAGCAATTCCAATGCAGGGATTTGGCCAAGACTGCAGGGTTCACCCCCTCCCTTCTGCAGGATTGGCAGCAGCCTGGAGCTTGAATGGCCATAGGTCACAAGATGCATCTTTATTGCATCAGGCATCAGTGCATTTAAACACTTTTATCCTCTAAGACATTAAAAACAATGTTAACATGCTCCAAAAGAGAGAGAAAGAGAAGAGCAACCCCTTCCTACCATGTAGATGAGGCCCCCAGTGACATGGGTTAGTGGTGGTCTTGGCAGTCCTGAGGTAATGGTTGGACTTGATGGTCTTAAACCTGCTTTGAAACCCGATTGATTCCATGATTCTACCCATTACCCTACACCACCTGCACTCTGCCTCCCTGGGTGCTGAGCACCCCAAGGGCACATCACCTCCAGCATCTCCCAAGCAGTTCCCACATCCATCAGCTCCAGCAAAGCATCATCCCAGTGGTACCCACCTGGCACCGGCACTGATGACGGTGCCGTTTCCCAGTGTTGCCAGTGCCTCTGCCAACAGCCCGGTGTACCGGTCTCCCTCCAGCTCGGCGGGAGGGGGCACAGCTTGCTCCAGGAAGGCATTGCCCTCAGCACCCTCAAACACCAGGTACGTGGTACCCAGTGCGTGCCGCAGGCGCCGGGCACGTGCCAGGTACCAGCTCAGTGCCTCCTCGCTGGTGACGTTGAGGCGGACACAAAGCTGCCCCTTCCATGTGGTCAGCAGCGGGATCTGCAGGAGACAAGAAGATTCCTGTCAGAGCCAGAGAGTACCCTGCCAGCCCAGGCTGCAAGGCTGGAGGTGGCTGCTGTGTCCCCATCCCACCCCACCACAGCCTGCACCATCACAGTGCCGTGTATGAAGGAGTAAACCCTTTGTCAACCAACCCAAAACCACCTTTGGGCTGATGGAAAAGAGGCAGATCATTAAAATGACTGCAAAAAACAGGGGAATTGGGATGTTCTGAGCACCAGCAACTGTTAGAAATATCTTTTGGAAGTGGGAATTTGAGAGCTACTTCCTTAAGAAACAGAAAAGTTGCTGCCCCGGGCACTGCTCTACAGCACTGGGCTGGTCCCCAGCGCAGGAGGATCAGGTTGTCGCCCTAGTGAGGGTGTTTATTCAGGTTTAAAGCAGGGTTGGGTTGAGGAGCAGGCTCAGGGCTGGAGGAGGGCCTCGTACCGGGCTGTCCCCGATGTGGGGCTGCAGGCTCAGCCAGTAGGTCCCTGCGTGGCCATCCCGCAGCGTGCGCAGGAACAGCGGGGAGGAGATGCTGGTGTATGGGGACAGCGTCACAGCGAGCTGCAGCGGGGCCAGCATGGAAGGGTCCCAGGCACGGCTCGGGTCCTGCCTCTTCCTCCGCTCTGAGGGTGCATGGTCCTGCTGGGAGGGACAGGCAGGAAAAGGGGTTTTGTCAGAGTGGCAAAGACACCAAGCACCAGCCCCTGGTGCCAGCACCCGCATGGCTCAGCCCCAGCCCATGGAATGGGTGTGCTGGCATTGTACACAGAGGGATCAGAGAAGGCAGCCCTGGGGCAGCAGCACAAGAGGGACATGGAGCAGTTGGAGCAAGTCCAGAGGAGGCCATGGAGCTGCTGCGAGGGCTGGAGCAGCTCTGCTCTGGAGCCAGGCTGAGAGAGCTGGGCTGGGGCAGCCTGGAGAAGAGAAGGCTCCTGAAGGGGAGACCTGAGAGCAGCTCCAGTGCCTAAAGGGGCTGCAGGGAACCTGGAGAGGGGCTTGGGACAAGGGCCTGTAGGGACAGGCCAAGGGGAATGGCTTGAACCTGCCCGAGGGGAGACTGAGCTGAGCTCTTAGGCAGAAGCTCTTCCCTGTGAGGGTGCTGAGGCGCTGGCACAGGGTGCCCAGAGAAGCTGTGGCTGCCCCATCCCTGGCAGTGCTCAAGGGCAGGTTGGACACAGGGGCTTGGAGCAAGCTGCTCCAGTGGAAGGGGTTGGGGTTGGAACTGGAGGAGCTTTAAGGGCTTTTTCAACCCAAACCTCTCTGGGATTCCATGAAATTAAGATCTAACGTATGTTCTGAGAGCAGGGCTCATGGCAGCACTCCATTTGCCTCCCAGTCCCAAAGGCCAGCAGGACGGGACATACCGCAGCCGCGAGGATGGCAGTGCAGTGCTCCCCCAGGAGCAGGACCCCCTCCTGAAGATGATGCCGCTTCAGCCTCCTCGCCAGTGACCTCAAACCTCGTTTTATTTTGGCAGCTGAACCCTCTGGGCCAGAATACCTCCAGACGGGAGACCTGTGCGGTGGGAAGAGCTGGTGGCTGCACCTTGTGCCAGCGTGAGATGCTTCACCATGAGGGTGCTGAGGCGCTGGCACAGGGTGCCCAGAGAAGCTGTGGCTGCCCCATCCCTGGCAGTGCTCAAGGCCAGGTTGGACACAGGGGCTTGGAGCAAGCTGCTCCAGTGGAAGGGGTCCCTGCCATGGGAATGCCTTACCCCAGGAGGGCTGTATCCGGCAGCGCCCGCTCCTGCGCGCTGAGCTGGGTGCCCACGTGCCGGTGTGCAGCCGCGATGTCGGTGCTGGCACAGAGGGTGTAGTGCAGGGGCTCGGCAGCTCTGCCCGCCGGCGATGCCAGGCAGAAATGCCGGTTGCTCTCCAGTGAGAGGAGCACGGGCATGTCGGGAGGCACCGTCACCGTCACGCCTGGGGGAGAGCAGAGCAGGCGGTGCCTCAGGGGGTGCAGGCCTCCGTTCTTGCACTGGTGGGCACAGGGATGGGGATGCACAGGGCAGAGCCTAACTGGTACCAGCACCTCCTGGACTGATCCCAGCCACGCAGGCAAAGCCCTGCTCCCTGCTTTCGCTATTCCCTTTGAGCCAAAATGCCTTTCGGGGGCTGGATTTACTCCGTTTCCTGCCTTTTTGCTCTGCATTCAGCTTAGGCAGCAGCTTCAGCTTCATCACTGCAGGGCAGTTGCAGATCAATTGATTAATTAGGGGCAATGGCTGAAGTCTGGAGTGCTGCAGAATAATCCAAATATCCACCCCAAAGTGACAACAGCCCCTAAGCTCTCACCCAGCATCCCAGAGCAGTGTCAGGACCTGGGAGCTCAGGAGGAAGCCACCCAAGGGGTGCTGGAGGAGCTGGCAATGGACACAGATCTCTGCTTAAACAGATCCAAAAAATGAAGACAAACCAAGAGCAGGGACTCCCCTGGGGTGAGCTGAGCCAACCCCATGCTCTCAGGCACTGAGGTTTAGTACCATGGCCTTTTCCATAGGGATGAGGCAAGGTGGGATCCATCCATTGCGTCACGCTGCCAACTGGCATTGCATTGGAAGGGTAGTTTAACCTCCGAGGCATCAACCCTGCTGCTAAACCAGCTGCTTTATAGATGAGGAGAGGATGGAGAAGCACAGGGATTGAAGGAAGAGGAAGCTGGATGGGGAAGGAAGCAGTTACCTGTGGAGCCCAAGAAGTATCTCTCCAGAACAGGCCCGTATCCCACGGGATTCTTGCTGAAGCCTCCACTGACAAAGGGCTGTGCCTGGCTTTGGGCTCCATTGAGCGGCCAGCGCTGGGCATGGAGGCTCACCCCTCCGTACCAGGAGATGTTGGCCATGGAGAAGCAATCCTGCAGCCAAGAGAGAGTCATCGGGGGCTGAGAAGCACCTCGGGGTGAGGATGAACATGGGAATAGTGGCATTTGAGAGGCAAAACCCCTGCAAGTTATTCCAGAGCGGTCGTGGGATGGGGTTTTTCCCAGGAGGAAAAATCCCAAGTCCATGAGATTCAGGTGTTTGACCCGAAAAGCAGTGGGTGCTCGGGGTAGAGCACACCTGGGGTTAAGTTTTTCTTCCCCAGGAACAAGAGCTGTGCTTCCAGGTACCAAATTACCGCTGAAATTCATGGAATCACAGCATGGGTTGGGATGGGAGGAGCCTTAAAGCTCATCCAGTTCCAACCCTGCCATTCACCTCTATAGCACTGCAGCGTCCCTGGGGTACCTTGTGGGTTTTCTGCTCTCTCCCAAGGCAAAGCCTCCCTCTTCCCTTTGGGCTGGTGACAAGAAGCATTTCCCTGGTGTTATGGGAGTATAATGGCACTAACAATGACTGTATTCCCTCAATAAGACTACATCAGTAGGGGTGTATTTGGAGCACTTCCCATAGGGCTGACAGGACGGAGCAAAGAGCCATCCCCCAGAGCTCCCAGTCCCAATGAGGTCCCTATCATCAACCCGACTCCTTTTAGAAACCATCAGTTTTCACTTCAAAGCCTCCAAAACCGCCCTCTTTCTGCCAAAGCCGGGATCAGCAGGACTCAGCATCCCGCATGACTTCCCATGGGGATTTGGGAATGCAGAGGGGGTTGGGGCGGGCAGAGGAGGACCCAGCTCAACACAACCCATGCTCATTCAGCCCAGCCTGGAGCCCCCGAGCTCGGCTCTGCCATGGGGGCAGCGGGAGGTTGAACCTCACCAAGGGGTGAGGAGAGGAGATGTGAATTATTAAAGTGGAAAGCCAGGAGGCTCGGGGTAGCAGTGCCGGGTGTCAGCGGAGCAGGTTACACGGGCTGGGAAAGGGAGGGGGAAAGGGCCCTTCTTAACTCTTCCCTTTCACTGCCCTGTGGTTTGCAGTGGTCTGCGGGTTGGCTTCCATAACACGTGGGGAAAAGCCCTGTTCTGCCTTGCTCGTCCTCTCCAGCACCCCAAAGTGACGGCAGCAAAGGAAACCCAGCCCCACCACAGCGGCTGCGTTCAGGCAACACCTCCCACAGCTCAAACCAGCATCAACAGCTAAAGGCACAAACTGCCCCATCCCCACAGGATCCCATCCGCTCCCTCACTGCTCCTGAGGGCACCTCGGTCCAATGGGGTTTTGGCTCGCTTTTGGCATCTGCTTTCATTTAATGGGTGAGCAAAGCGGGCAGGGTACGGGAAGAGAAGGAGCCCCTAAATATGTGCAGCAGCCGCGTTGTGCTGTGGTCGGAGGAGACCTCCCTGCGCTCCTCATGGCCCTCGCCAGCATTGTGAGCCTCACTGGTGTTTACTCAGTCTCCATAAACACGGAGCTCCCATCCCAGGGTTACCAGCACAGCCCTGGGAGGCAGCGGCACCAAGGCACGAGGCTTCCAGAATGCTTTCCCCACCCGGAATCAGTGAGGATTGGAAGATGGGGAGCCCCAGCCATGGTGTGACCCACAACCGTGGTGGGAAATGGGGTGTTCAGGGCAGTGCCCCTGCATTTGGGCTCATTTTACCCCAAAGGCCACAGTTCAGAGCAGCACACGGGGTCATAGAATGACAGAATGGTTTGGGTTGGAAATGACCTTGAGATCATTCACTTCCAACCCCCTGCTATGGGCAGGGGCACCTCACACTAGACCCTGTCACCCAAGCCCCTGTGTCCAACCTGGCCTTGAACACTGCCAGGGATGGAGCATTTACCACTTCCCTGTGCACCCTGTGCCAACACCTCAGCACCCTCACAGGGAAGACCTCCATTATATCTCACCTGTACTTCCCCTGTTTCAGTCTGACCCCATCACCCCTTGTCCCATCGCTCCAGTCCCTGATGAAGAGCCCCTCTCCAGCACCCCTGTAGCCCCCTTCAGACACTGGAGCTGCTCTGAGGTCCCCAGGGTCCCCATTACCTTCAGCATCACGTCGGGGCGCAGCGGGGTCCATTGGACGCTGTAGCACTCGGTGCCGGGGGCCGGCGGGGGCTCGAGGTTCAGCCGGAGCTCAGCATCCTCCTCCCACGCGTAGCAGAACTGGGCACCATCGTGCCAGCAGCGGTCCCGGGGCGGCGGGGGCTCGGCGGCCGGCACCCCCCGCACCGCCACCGCGGCCACGGCGCGCCCCGCCGGCAGCGCCCGCAGCAGCAGAGCCCCGCGCCGGCGCTCCCAGAGCAGCCCCCCCCGCCGGCCCCGCAGCACCCACTCCTCCGGCGGCTGCTCCAGCGCCTGCCACGAGATGATGCCGATGGTCATGGCGAAGAACACGGCGACGCCGAGGCAGCCCACGGCGCCTTTCCAGGGCTCCGTCATCTCCCTGAAGCCCAGCGTCCAGGTGGCTTCGGGCATCTGGCCGGTGCGGCGGGACAGCGGCATGGTGCGCTCACAGGGGATGCTCCGGCTCCTCTTCCTCCCGCCTCCTGCGGCAGCACAAGAGAGAAACCCCTTGGAGTGCACCAAAACCTCTTGTTTTTTGATCCAAAGGAATGTTTAAAGAGAAACAAAGCCCCGACTCTTCCCTTGCAGCAGCCCAAAGGTGGGCGAACTCTCTTTGCAGCCCCGCTATGTGCTCTGCTGCACAGCAAACCCTGCTGCTAGGCTCAGTGCTGGCTGTGGATGCGGTTCAAGCACAAGACCCGGTGCCGGTGTCAGCTCAGCCCCTTGGCATGATCAGCAGCATCTGCTCAGCGATGCCAGAGGGGAGCTGGAGGAGAGCACGGGTGGCAGAGAGCCTGGGGCAGCAGCAGAGGGGAGACACGACAGCGCTTGAGCCTCCATGGCCCTTTGGGGTCTGGCTTGTCCCTGCAGTGTGGCTTCACCTCGTGGTGTGCAGAGAGGCAGTAAATAGCTTGGGGGTGCAGGAGATGGACTGCAGGGGTGGTTGGGGAAAGAGGGGGATGCAACACCAGCCTCCTTCCATCTCATCTGATTTGGTATTTGGTGCCCCATCCCTGGCAGTGCTCAAGGCCAGGTTGGACACAGGGGCTTGGAGCAAGCTGCTCCAGTGGAAGGGGTCCCTGCCCTGGCAGGGGTTGGAGCTGGAGGAGCTTTAAATCCCTGCCAACTCAAACCAGGCTGGGGTTCGATGATGGACAGAGCAGGGAGAAAAGATACCCATGGGCACAGCCCTCACTCAAAGGAACAGGCACCCAGTGCTCCAGCCCGGGCAGGGGACCACCACAGTGATGGCATCACAAGGTGGGATACCTTCTACATCCCACCCTGCTGCCCCCTGCTGCATACCAGCTGCCCCAGCTGCTGCTGCTTCCCCCAGCTCAGCCCCTCCCATCACACAGCCCCATCTCCCAGTGAAGGAGCTGCTTCTCCTTTACCTCAATGCAGACCAGAAGATGCTTCAGCAGCCCCCAAGTGCTCCTCGGTGCCCGAGCGCTCCTGCTCCGGCTCTTTTCCCGCTGTCAGGATCCTCTCCTCTCCTCTCTCCCAGGGTAGTTTTTCCTCCTGGCCACGTCAGACACCTTCACTGAGGCAACTTGATCCGAACTGACCCAGCAGCGTTACCCAAGACGAGACCCGGTGCGCTCCCTCGCTCCCTGCGGGCAGCAGGATCCCAAACACCGGCATGGGAAACAGGCAGGACCTCAAAACTGTCCTGTTCAGAAGCATTTCTTTATAGGGGAGTAGTGCTAAAGGGAGTTTTGGCCAAGTTACTGAGGTGGCTGCAGCTGAGCCCTTCCTACACACCTGAGAATCCACACATGAGAGGCAGCACCCAGCCCCCCTGCCCTGCATTGTGTTCTGATTGTTGTTACTATTACATCTGTGGGATTTTTCACTGTTTTCCCACCCCAAATGAGCCGTTGTGTCTGTCCCCCCCACCCCATCACCTCCAGGGCTGCAGGACAGGGTGCTGCTTGCACCCAAAGCAGAGCCCCCTTGCAGAGCCAAGCAGGTGCCTGGGGCTGTTTCAATCCCCACCAGTGCAGAAAACACTGGAAATCTGAGCTTTCCACCCATGTTTCCATGTCCCTCACCCTCGCCCCACCACTCCTCCCCCGCCTGGGGGTGATCAGGGAATTTTACCTGGATTTTACATGGAATATTGCAATCTGCTGGCCGCCAACCCCAGGCTGAGATTTCCAAGAGTTTCCCCATTCTGGACCAGGTAAAACCCCGACACCCCCAAGCCCTGAAGCTCAAGACAAAACCCACCACTCACCCTGGGGATGCTGCTCTTTGGGGAGGCCTCAGGACAGCCAGATCCACAGGGACAATTCTTGTCTGTAGCCCAGGTAAGCCCCTGGAGGGGCCTTTCCCACGGGATTAATGTGTGGTCTTGGCTGGAGCAATATCCAGTATGGAATGAAGGGGAAAATGGGTTGATCATATCGAGACGAGCATCTCCCAGCCACTGGCAGGGGTTCCAGGGCAGGGAGAAAAGGCTGGATCCGGGATAAGGAGGAAGGATGAGGCTTTACTGCAAGCTTGGAGATGAGAAAGGGACAATGATGTCCATCCAAACCGGGACTGGGATCACCTGGGAAAGGGCTCCTTCAAGCTAGGTTAGGAAGGGTTATGGCAAAGCTACAGGGGATGGAGACAGGGCTGGGTGTGAGGTGCAAAAGAAAAGGGGACACGATTCTCATGGGATCCTCCAGGGTTATTTAAAAGCAGTTAAAATAGAGGGAAGACAGTTACAGGAGAAGGAAGAAGGGTGCTTGTCCAGCAGGGATGTCCTGGGCAGGGCTGTGGGACCCACACACCCCACAGCCTGCAAGAAGTTAATAAAACCCCCTGGGGGCTCGGAGCTGTTCAGCTGCAGCATAAACCCGAAATGCCAAGGCACCAGTGAGGCATCTGCCTCCTCATGGGGTTTATAAACCCATCTGCACCATGGTTAAAGCAGGTAGAGACCAGGGTGCTCTTTGGGATGGGGCTGTGCTCCTCCCTGCGTGTCCAGGGCAGGGGATGCGGCAGCAGCCCCAGGACCCCATGAGAGCAGCTCAGGGCTCCGTGCTCCCCATTCCTCACCCAGAGCAGGCCAGGGGCGAGCGAGGGGGGTGCTGGCAGCAGCTGAAGGCAAAGCTCTGTCACATGGAACACCTTAAATCACATCCACGGGACGGCAGAGGGGCCGTGACCCGCTCCAGGCTGGGATTAGAGAGCCCAGGGATGGGGAGCGCGGTGGCTGCTGCTGCAGGGGCTGGGGGGGGATTCCCGGCTGGGATCCCAGGGAAACAGTGGGGTTTCATGAGAGCTTTTCTTTAAAAGCAGCTCAAATCTTCCTTGCTCCAGGGAGAATCCTGCTGCAGATCCCAGCACCCCAATAAACACCCCCCCCCCCCCGGCTCTGCAAAGAGGCACTGGGGGATTTGGGGCTGAGCCCCTTCCCACCCACCCTTTGGAGGGCAGGAATGGCGCTGCCGATGGTCCTGCCCCTCCTAACTCACAGCACGACCCGGCTCCCATGGACAGCCCAAAGCCCCACCTCATCTTCCTCGCAGCGCCAAGGAAAACCACCTCTCCTTGACCAGCGCCAGCAGGAAAACACATTTGGGGTGGTTCACGGCGTCCCCAGCAAGCCGAGAGCCCCTCTCCTTGCTGAGGGTTTATTGCAGCTCTGAGTCTCCTCCGCTGCAAAGTAGGGAATCTTTTCCCCCTTCCTGACTCTGCAGCTCTGACAAGACCCCGAGGCTCCCATTTACATCCCATGGGAATGTCCAAGCCACCTCCAAAGGGCTTCGATCCCAGACCTCAAGGGCTTTGGCTCAGGTAGGTGGATGCAGCTCCCATAAGCTGCTGGTGCCAGGGAAGGGGTACAGTGGGTGCTTGGGAATACATTTAACCCATCCGCATCAATAAGCAGAGCTCAGGAAGCAAAACTGTGGCAAAACACCCAGAAAACAGGGAGTAAGGCTTATTCCCACTGCGATTTAGGCTGAGCAGCCCATAGGAACGGCTGCCTTTGCGTTATCCCCGCACTTCACATACCACATCCTTTGAAAACAAACCCTGTCCTTACCTTTCAGGCTGCCTGGAAAAGCAGAGCACCAGCATCCACAGGGATCCTCCATGCATGCGAGGCGAGGAGCAGGGGCTGCACTGGGGGAGGACCAGTCCTCAGCATCAGTGCTTTCCTACAGCCTCAAAGCCCCAGTGAGGGCAGGCAGAGCGCCCCAGTGGTGGGGCCAGGCTGCACTGGGGAGCCCGGTTTGGATGAGTTTAAATATTATCATTAGAAAGAGGGAAAGGAGAAGAAAGCAAAAGACAGGAAGAAAGATGTGTGCTTGGCCCAGAACAAAGGAAACTTGGAGCAGCAAAGAGCCTCCAGGACTTGGCGTCTCTCCTTGATCTTCCCTGAGGGAGCAGCCTCATCCCCCAGGCTCTGGCCAAGCTCTTGCAGTGGGGATGGATCCTACGTTACCTTAAAAGCCTGCACCCGAACCCCATTGTGTACCCAGGCCAGCAGATACAGGGTGAGCCAAAGCAGACGGCCCAGGGCTTGGCAGCAGGGATGCCAGAGGAGCTGTGGCTGCCCCATCCCTGGCAGTGCTCGAGGCCAGGTTGGACACAGGGGCTTGGAGCAAGCTGCTCCAGTGGAAGGGGTCCCTGCCCTGGCAGGGGTTGGAGCTGGAGGAGCTTTAAGCTCCCTTCCAACCCTGTTACCCTGTGCACGCTCCTCCTGCCCTCACCTCCACTGTGGTCCCTGCCCCTGGTCCATCTGCTGCTGGCGGACCTGGAGGTGATGACTTAAAACTGAAACCCAGGAAGAAGGCAGCTGCTGCGCTGCCGAGGGGTTTTCCTCTTGCTTTTCTCCCCGTTGCAGTTCCCAGCTCTTCCTTTCAGGGCCAGCAAAAGCCTTCGGCTGTGCTAAAACTCCCTTTGCCTTGCAGAGCCTGGTGCTCCTTGTTAGAGCTAAGCTATTGAATAGCTTAAAAGCAAGGATGAAAGAGGGGGATGTAGCTCCAAAGCCCCTAGATCTCAGCCCCAGATTCCCCCTGGAAGCGTTCCTGGATTTCCATGAGCTCCCAGGCAGCTCCACGGCTATTTATAACAGCAATAAACGAGCAGTGGGGCTCGCATTGAGAGCGCAGGCACAGAAATAGCAACAGCGGTTGGAAAGAGCCGCTCAGGCATTGTCCCTTCCCAACCCCATCGTGTCCCCTGCACCAGGAACCAGCCCCCTTGTCCCTGCTTTCACCCCAGGCAAACCCTGACATTTAGGGAACACCGGGGGGGTGAGGAGGTGACGGGGACTGAGCCCCTGCACTCACTGCAGGAGACTGCCCTGGAACTGATGATTTGGGATCGAGGAGCTGCTGTGCCAAGGAAAACCACCTGGATTGGGCTCTTGCCCTCCGGCACCCCCAGACCCAGCAGCCCCCAGGCACCCAACATGGGCACCTTAACAGGAGGGAGCACTGCATCACCCAGACAAGCTCCGTGAGCCCAGTGAATAGCTCTGGGTTAGGGGAGAGGTTGTGCTTGGTTTGGGGGTCTAAAAGCAGGCCCTGCCTGGAAGATGCTGCCAGCAGCTCTGCTTTCCCCATCACCCCCCAATGGGTCTGGGGCTGCAGTGAGGCCAGATCCACACACTGCTCCTCCAGGAAAAGCCCTCAGAAAGCCCAAACCCTCTGTTTGACATACAGATACACACACTAAAGGCACAAGGTTGATGATAAAGGTTGCAGCTCCACCCCACCTCTTAGGCTTTCTCTGTGCACCTTGCTAAGAGGTGATCCCCTCTCCTGCCGAATCCAGCTTTACCATCCCCATCAAAGCACAGGTCTATCTTTCTGAGCAAGGCTTTGGCTGCTGGAGTCCCAGCCCTGCAGTGGCCTTAATGGTAAGATCCCAAACCCACATAGGATATGTAAGCAGAGCAGCAGGTACCAAGAGGACTTGAGCATGAGTGCAAAGAGCTCCTGCCCCTTGTCACTCGGGAGGCCTCAACCCAGGTGCACCAAAGGGAGAAGCTAAAGCCACAGGCACCAATCTCAGTTCACACATCATGCACATCATGGCTTTTCCTGCACAGGCATGCACAGACAGGGTTAAGGGGGATAACAGGGATGCTCAGCACACCAGGGAGCTGCTGGTGGTGAGCAGCAGGCCAGGGAGCTGTGGGGAAAGGATGTTTCTGGCTCACTTGTCTCTTCCAGGCTTCCCAGCAATCTGGGAAGCACATTTGCAGCCTGCACCCTTGCCAAATCAAGTCACTGCCCTGGAGATGCCTTTGGGATGAGGAGACCAAAACTCTCCAGCTTCCCCCCATGGGGCTGAGCCATCACAGCGCAGACATTGAAGTGCTGATGGTCCCTGGGTGCAGGACAACCTCCTGGGCACCCACATGTCCCCAGAGGAGTGCCATTTCCATTCGCACACAGGAGCACCCGTCCAGAGGATCAGTACAGGGTACCCAGCTCCACCAGTCTCTCCTTCCTGCATGGGGCATTAGGCAGCCTTGAAGTCTGGTCCTCCGTAAGCATGGGGGTTTATTAGAGGTCTCCAGGGCAAACCAAACCACACAGCCCTGGCCTCCACCCCAAATCCCCTTAAATATTACCTTAGTGGCACTGCCCTTCTCAGACAGGGGAAGGCTGCAGCCCCACAGAACCAAACACCTCCAAGGGGCTGCAAGACATCCAAGGACAGAGCTCGGAGCACTTTCTCTCCAGGGACCTGCTTTAACCCACCTCCCTGAGCCTCCAAAGCTACAGGGAAGGCAGAGACCGAGACCTTCCTCTTCCTCCTCCTCCTCTCTGCATGAGCCCTGCAGAACTCCCACCACGAGCATTTAGGATTCATGGGGGCGTCCCCATTCATCACCCTCAGTGGTGACCGGATCTTCCCCCCTCCCCTCAGGGCCAAGCTTTATACCGGAGTGGGGAACCGCCCCGGGAGACCGCTGCAGGCTCCCAGCAGTCAGCGATTAGCGCTGAGCAGCCTGAGCCGCCCCTCGGCCTCTCTGGATGCAGCTGAGCCTTGATCCCAAAGAGGCTCCTGCCTAATTCCAGCGGTGAGCAGGGGCCAAGCTGCCTCCCACCCCGCGAGGGGCTGCGCTTGGAAGCAGCAGCGGCCACCCGGAGCTTCTGGCTGGGAACCCTCCCTTCATTCCTTAGGGGATAGACCCAGCGCCGGAGCGAGCTGGGGACAGGGAGCGGGAGGATGCTGCTCCCCGCGGCTGCCCCGCTCCCGTCCATCGGGCTCCAGGCCGGGCTGGACACCGGGGCTTGGAGCCCCCTGCTCCAGTGGGAGCGGTCCCTGCCCGGGGAGGGCTTGGAGCTGGGGGGGCTTTCAGGTCCCTTCCGACACAAACCGCTGCCATCTCCCTCAGTGCCCGCCGCAGCGCCAGGCTCCTCCCGCACGTCCCAGCTGAGCCGTGGGCCTGGGGCTTCCTCCGGAGCATCCCAGCCTGGGAGCCCCGCATCCCCCCTCCGCTCCCCGCTCTGAAACCGCACGGAGCCCCCTGCCCCTCTCACAGCTCCCAGAGGCGTGCCCGGGGCTCGCTCTGCCAGGGTTCCCTTGAATCCCACCTCCGTTCACGTACCCACAGCCCTCCCGTGGGGTGAAACGAACCCTGTGGAGGGCTGAGGCCAAGGGGCCGGTTTAGAACTGCTCCTTCCCAGCACTACTGGAAGCCCTGGGCGCCAGCAGTGGGAGGTGCCGCCGCGGCTGCTGTTTGCTCACCACAGGAGCACGATTCGGGGCATTGAATCCTCAGGGATCTGTCCAAGGGGAAGCCAGGGCTGGCGGGGCTCTCGTCTGGGTTCATTTCAAGGGTTTATGGCATCTCCAAGCGAGCTGAACGCTGCTGCAGCAGCCAGAGCCTCTGCCCCCAAACCCAGCAGCGTGGGGCTGTGATAACAGCCTGGCTCAAGAGGATTAAACCCCATTGGGATGCTGAATGTCTGCTCCAGCCTTTTGCCAAGCCACGGAGGTTTTGGTGTCCTCAAGGATGTTGCTTAAATCCCTGATGTTCCCAAGGCTTGTCCAAGGCAATGGATTTCCTGGCAGCCTGGAGCTCCAGCCCAGTGCGGTGCTGGGCATGCAGAAACCTGTGTTACTTGGTATAAACTACTCAGAGCACAATCCCAGCCTGGGTTGGGTTGGAAGGGACCCTAAAGCTCCTCCAACTCCACCCCCTGCCAGGGCAGGGACCCCTTCCACTGGAGCAGCTTGCTCCAAGCCCCTGTGTCCAACCTGGCCTTGAGCACTGCCAGGGATGGGGCAGCCACAGCTTCTCTGGGCACCCTGTGCCAGCGCCTCAGCACCCTCACAGGGAAGAGCTTCTGCCTAAGAGCTCAGCTCAGTCTCCCCTCGGGCAGGTTCAAGCCATTCCCCTTGGCCTGGCCCTACAGGCCCTTGTCCCAAGCCCCTCTCCAGGTTCCCTGCACCCCTTTAGGCACTGGAGCTGCTCTCAGGTCTCCCCTTCTCTTCTCCAGGCTGCTCCAGCCCAGCTCTCTCAGCCTGGCTCCATAGGAGGCACAGAGATGACAACAGAGATGCCTGGCCCTAATATAAAGGTTGCGTTTCCCCTCCCTGCACCCTTAACCCCGAAAGGGACAGAGCACAACAAAACCCCCCTGCCCTGCACTGGCAGGCCCGAGGCATCGCTGGCAGTTGCCAACATGGCTTTTATTGTCAGAGGGGCAGCAGCAGGGGTGTGACAGGTCACTATGGGGGACACGGTGTAACCCCCCAGGTCATCCTGCACATGCACCCTGCATGGCAGCGCTGGGCATTGGGTGGGATGGAGGGAGAGAAAGGAGAAGATGCTGCTGTCTGCAAGCCCTGCTCCCTCCACCTTTACTGCCCTGGCTCTGAGCAGACAAATTCCCAGCCCAAGGTGGTTTTCCCTGTGGGAATGGGGCAATTCAGCAGAAAAGGGGGTCCCTGCATGGAGCATCATTTTCAGCTCCCTGCATCCAGGGTTCAAATGGGCACCCATGGGTTTGCTCACAGCACAGAGAGGTGCAGGGCAAAGGCAGGAACAGGAGAAGCTGCTCTGGGAACACTGCTCCTCTCGGATGCAGAAGCGTGATCCCAGCCTAGGGTTCCAATGTGCATCAGCAATCCAGTGTGTTCCATGTGCCTCCCCTCGCAGGAGGGCTGCCTGGGTGGCGTGGAGATGGAGGTGGAAAACAGGGGCAGGCTCAAAGGCAGCACCCAGCAAAGCACCGGGGATGTGATGGCTCCAGCTGGAGATGGAGCAGCAGCATCTGCCCTGGGCAGGGACTGCACTTACAGGGGCAGTGAAGGAGCCTGAGCCACTGAGAACTGGGTTTCAGATCAGCCAGGGATGTAGAGGCTTCCCCCCCCTCCCCAAATCCCTGGTTTGCTTTTAAACATGCCCCTGGGGACAGCCCATGGGCAGTGGGGATGGAGGAGCTCCTCCATAGGCACGGGCCTGGGGGTTCTGCCCCTCTGCAGTGGCTTCAGGTCACAGCCCAAGGGAGAATGGGGATGGGAACATAGTGCTGGGCTTGGACAGATGGATGCTGGTGGCTGCAGGGGGAGAATGGGCTCCTTGTGGGGACCATGAGGATGTGGCTTTCCCCCCAGCACCCACTGACCGGTGCAGTGAGCCTGGGCATGGAGGGGGACGTGGGCAAGGGAAAGGTTTTGAGCATCCGGGGGATCTTTCCCCCCATGATCCCAAGGCAGGGGTGCCCAATGGCTGCCCTGGAGCTGGGGCCACCCCAGTGCTGTGGTGCACGCTGCAGGGCACAGACAGACCCAGCTTTGTCAGGGGAGAGGGGAAACCCGCAGAGGTGTCTGTGCAGGGTCCGATCCCTGCTGAAACACTGCTGAGCCTCCCGAGGCTGGCCCAGCACCGCTGAAGCCACCACGAACCAGTGCTGACTTCAGCCGGGCAGGGGGAGGACGAGGGACCACAGATGGGTGGGTGGAGAACATCGTCCCTGCTGGCACGAAGCCTGTCTGTGCAAACAGGCTTCCAAAGGCTGCTGAACCCCGGTGCCCCATCTCTAACCCTTCCTCCTGCAGCCGGCACAGCCCCACGAGCTGCCCCTGGGGCTGAAGCAGCAGGATAAGACCTGTCCCTGTGTCCGCTCACTCGGGGATGTAGTCCCTGAAGGAGTTGAAGCTGAGGCTGCGTCCCGCTGGGTGCGAGCTGGAGCTCGCCTGCATCTTTGGGATCTTCTCCATCAGCTTCGACACCGTCCTCCTCTTGAAGGAGCCCGGGGAGAAGTGCCCCTGCCTCATGAGCTCCTGGTAGAGGGCGTTGAACACGGCCACGGGCTCCTCGTAGCTGTCCCGGGTGGAGATCTCGTAGAAAGGCAGCTTCAAGGCCTTGGAGAGGTTCTGGCCGTCCTCGGTGGACACCATGCGGTCGAACTGCAGGTCCTTCTTGTTGGCCACGATGACGACGGGCGGCTGCTCGCCCGCGCCGCTGCGCCGGGGGCTCGAGTGGATGTGGTTGATGAGGAAGCAGAGCCGCATCACCTCGTCGAAGCTGCATCTGTCCGTCACCGAGTAGACCACGGCGAAGCCATCGCCCCACTTGATCTTCTCCTCTATGTGCAGCGAGTCCTCCTCCTGCCAGGCACACAAGCTCCTGTTAACACCCAACACCTCCCTGCACCAACACTGCCGGATGGGGACCAGGAACCTTCCAGGGGTCAGCACCATCCTGAAGGCTTCTGGCCATGGCTTGCACACAGCAGCGATGTGCAGAGCACATGGGTGACCTAGGGCTGGATCTGGATCTGATCGGGGGAGCAAAGTGAAAGTTGGGGACAGTGGTCAGCCCCATCCTGATATGGGATAGGGAGAGTTGGTGCTGTTAAAGCAGGTGCCCAGAGGCAGGGATGCTGCTACATGGGAAGCCAGCACAGGGCTCTCCCCTGCTGCAATCCCAGTGCTTGGTGTCTCCTTCAATCAGTAATGGGAATGGGAAAACATTGATGTGAAGACACACTGGGATTGATGCTAGAGACATGAATTCTCTGAAGCATCCTTTTTCCAAGATAAACCCATGGAACCCCAGCCTGGTTTATGCTGGGAGGGACCTTAAAGCTCATCCACGGGCAGGGACCCCTTCCCCTGGAGCAGCTTGCCCCAAGCCCCTGTGTCCAACCTGGCCTTGAGCACTGCAGGGCTGGGGCAGGCCCATCTGGCTGCAGCAGGCTGAGGGTGTGAGGAGCAGCAGGAGCTCACCTGTCCCGCCGTGTCGAGGATCTCGAAGTGCACCATCTCCCCATCAATGAGAGCCACGTGTCTGTAAATCATCTCTGGAGCAGGACACAGAGAGAAGCCTCTGAGAGGAGCCCCCAGTAGGAAATGAGAACCTGGGCTGGAGAAGTTGATTTGCGCTTGCTGCAGCCCCCAGCCCCTGTGGCCGCTGTTGAGAGCACGCCCTGAGCTGGTCCTCAGCCTGTCCCCATGCCTGGGAAGGGCCACCCTGTGCCCATGGCACTGAGCTCAGCATCTCCCCTGGGTCCAGAGCCCCAGCCAGCGCCCAGCTGGACCTTGCCTTGCTGGCAATAAAGGGGTTACAGTGAGCTCAGTGTTGGAGCAGAAAGGGGCCATGGAGCGATGCTCCTGCAAGGGAGGAGATCAGCAGCAGAGGGTGAGAAGCTGGGTTTGTTTTCACAGAATTCCAGAATCCCAGCCTGGTTTGGGTTGAAGGGACCTTAAAGCTCCTCCAGCTCCACCCCCTGCCAGGGCAGGGACCCCTTCCACTGCAGCAGCTTGCTCCAAGCCCCTGTGTCCAACCTGGCCTTGAGCACTGCCAGGGATGGGGCAGCCACAGCTTCTCTGGGCACCCTGTGCCAGCGCCTCAGCACCCTCACAGGGAAGAGCTTCTGCCTAAGAGCTCAGCTCAGGCTCCCCTCGGGCAGGTTCAAGCCATTCCCCTTGGCCTGGCCCTACAGGCCCTTGTCCCAAGCCCTCTCCATAGAGGATTCATGCTCCTCACCAGCCCTTTTTCCCATCCAGCACTGAGCTCCTGCTCCCAAGCAGCAGCTCCTTTGTAACCAAGCAATGAAAGTGGCTGCTGGTGGCATCTGGGCAGCCCTGGAGCACAAAACCCCTTTGAGCTCCACTAACATCATCAGCAGTGAAAGCACCATCCCTCTGCTTGGCAACCACATGCTCACAGGGCGCTGTGCTCGGGCAGATGGAGCAGCCCGGTCACACTGTGCCCGTGCGCCAGGCACGACAGGGCAGGAACCCATCTGCCCTATGGGATAAACAGGCCCCTTCCCTCCCCTCTGACACAAGCAGCACCAGGAACACGCACGTGTGGGCTCTGTGGTTCCTCCCGTCGCATGGAGCGAGCACAACAGGAGGCAGAGAGGAAGAACAAGCTGTGCTCCAGGGAAAAGCATGGCTCTGGCATCAAGTGAACAGGGGAGGGAACACACAGGGCAGTGGCTGAGGGGCTGGGCTTCAAACCAGCCCCATCCCTCAGGCTCCCTGGGAACCAGCTGGGTTGGAACAGGGAATCCCCCCCAGCTCCCACCCTGGTGGTGGCAGGAGGATGCACAGCCCCCGAGCAGGCACTTTGGGGCCATTCAGTGGGGATGTGGCTTCAGGACCCCAAAACCTCAAACCCAGCTGCAAACCCAAGGACAGGCAGGGCCAAGGACAGGCAGGGCCCAAGGACAGGCAGGGCCAAGGACAGGCAGGGCCAAGGACAGGCAGGTAAACCCAGCGGGTTTTTACCTTAACAAAACCAACAGGGAAGGAAAAGGGGCTGCAGGAGCCAGGGAACACGGTGAGCTCGGGAGCAGGGTTGGCTCTGCAGGAGCTGGGTGCATCAGGGTCCCCGGGCTCACCAGTGGCAGCAGCAACAAGAGAAAGGCTTCACCTACCCAGGGTTGGGTCGTAGTCTCCAATGAACCTCCTGGTGATGAACCTGACGGTCAGCGCTGTAGGAGACACAACAGAGCAGTGATGGTCAGCCTGCAGAGAGCCAGCAGCGGTCGGGGTGAGGGATGCAGCAAAGACCTGCCCCGGCCCCATGGAAAGGATCCAGGGGGGCACCAGGAGCAGCCTCCCCAGCGGCGATGCTGCAAACGTTTGCATGGAGGCCCAAAGCCCAGTACAAGATGGGATGCTCCAGGCAGAGGAAGAGACCTCTGCTCTCAGCTGCCTGCTCGCTGTCAGCAGCAACCACCTGCATGGGGGGTCATAACCTGCACCTCCTGCCTCGTCCTGCACTGATTTATGCACGTGCTGGTTTATGCTGGGTGAGTGATGCCCTCACCGATGAGCTCGACACAGGGCACGCCGGTGCTGGGTCAGGCTCTGCTGGTGCTGGTGCTGTAACTGCCTGCATGGGTCCCATGGACTTGAGCACTGTTGGTCTAAGCCAGCCCAGGCTCACAGCAGGGAGCACGGGAGGTGCTGGCACCAGATCCCATGGGGCTCAGCAGAAAGCCAAAGCTGGAGGGGCCCAGAGGTGCCCCTCGCCCCAGCCATGTGCTGCCAAACCCAGCCCTGGGAAGGTGCCTGGCACCAGGAGGAGCCGAGCAAGGAGCAGCCCATCCCGGTGCACAGCAGCTTCCTGCCATGTCTGCGCTCAGGAATTCAGGTTCCCGGCACAGGGATGCTGGGCACGAGCTGGGGCCATTGTTTCATCCTTGCAAGGAGCATCCCGGCAGCTCTCGGCATGCAGGGGATGAAATAACCCCTGCTATGAAAGGCACAGGGTCCCAGGCTGGTTTGGGATGAAGGGACCTTAAAGCCCCTCCAGTCCCAACCCCTGCCACGGGCAGGGACCGCTTCCACTGGAGCAGCTTGCTCCAAGCCCCTGTGTCCAACCTGACCAGGGATGGGGCAGGCACCATCTTCCATCTGCTGGCACAGCATCAACGCAGGGATTGAATCATTTGGCCCCGCTTTTCCTCCTTGCAGGGGCGAGGGATGGCAGGAGCAGCCGCACACAGTGGGGGCAATTGAACCCCTTTATCCAATTACCACATCCCTGCACCAGAGACTGGAGCTGTGAAGCCCAAATTACACCCTAATGCCAGGCTGCTGGAGGTCTGCAGGGCTGGAGGCTTGCCCAACAGCTCCATCAAAGTGGCAGTGGCTTCTCCTCCGTGGGTGCTGCAGCTCAGCCCTCGCTGCAGGCCGAAGGACACAGAGCTCAGGTCTCGAGCAAGCGCTTGTTGGGGATGGGCAGGACCTCTGGGGCTGCAGACCAAAACCAGAGGCTCCTTGGCCATGGTGCACGGTCTCCATGGGGTGCGAGGACCAGCGACAGGGCTGAGGCTCAGCTGGCAAACGGTCAGGAACTGGGAGCAGGGGGGAAAGCAAAGGTTTGCCAAGCAGTGAAGGTGCTGGAATCCCTGCTGGGCTGAGCGGGGCAGGGAGGCAGCTGGAGAGTTCCCATCACTGCTGCTCACAGAGCACCAGGCTCGGATAGAGGTCCCCAATGTGGCCAAAGGGACACAAACCCGCGCCTGTCCCTGCCCTGGCTCGTGCTGGGTTTATCCCATCTCCTGCTCTGGAGCATGCGGAAGCCTCCCAGCCCTGCAGCAGGACCATTGCAGGGCCCATGCCAGCAGGCCGGGTGGCACAGGGGGCTGATGAGGGGACACTGATGCTCATGAAGACGGGCAGAGCAGGTGAGGTGGTAGCAAGCTGTTCCCAGCGTCATTCCAGGCAGGGCCCAGCAGCATCCCATGGGAAGATGCAGGAAAACAGCAAAGCTGACACATTTTAACCTGACTTTTCACAAGCCTCGAGCGCGCCACGGAGCAGCCAAGGGAGAGCTGTGGGGAGGCCGTGCTGATGCTCGGGATGAAGGGGAGAGCCCGGAGAGGCCCCGAGGTGGTGCTTGGCTGCATCAGTTCAGCAGCAGCAGAGAATGTGGTACCCAAGGGCACACCAGGGGCTGATGGAGAGAGAACTTTCCTGGGAAAGGAATCCCACAGCTTGGACCTGCAGAGGGCACACGGTCACTCCTGGGCTGTCCCAGGGAAGGAGGAACAACAGCAAAGGCAAGGAACAACAGAGCGAGGGCACAAAGCACAGACCCTGCCTGGAATGGGTCACCCCGACCAGCACGGATAATGACGGCAGTGGTGAACTGGCAGAGACCAAGGGGCCGGATGGGGATGTGGGTTCACAGCTCGGCCTGGACCAAAGGGAAGCTCTGGGTCGGATGCTTTGGGAGCATCGGCTGCCCAGGGATGATTCAGGAGCAGCCCCATGAGGGCAGTGCTGCAGGAGCCAGCTCTGGGCCACGGAGCTCAAACAGGAACGGAGCGATCCCAACGGGAGGCTCAAACACTGCGCACACCAGAACACCTCAAAGGAGGCGATGCAGGGTCCAGTCTGCCCCAGGGAAGCACTGGAGGAGAGCAGACTGGTTTGGGGAAGAGGCCAACTGCATCTCCTGACAGCCCTTCTGCGGGGGAAGGCCTCCCCAGCCAAGCCAAGGGCTTACTCATCTGCTCACCTTCACCATCCACAGCTGACGGGATGATCTTACAGGTCTTCTCCAACCTGGTTGATTCTATGACCCCCACCGTTTGGAATATCTTTCTGCAGGGAATTGCCTTTAGGATGCGGCAGGGTGGACCAGGAAAGGACCAGGAGCATCCCCAGAAGCAGCTCTCCAGCCCTGCAGACCGAGCGAGCTGGCTCTGGCTCTCAGCTCTTCCCTGCACAGCAGGAAGGGAGATGCCCGCTGGGGAGAACAGGCAGCAGCACAAGCACCCTCTCGGAGGTGGCTTCAGGAACACCTCGCTCTGCCTTTGGAAAGGGAGAGGCCACAAACCCCATTGTCACGCTTGGACCTCGGGGTCTGAAGTAATCCAAAGGGGTTCCCGGGGGGCTGGGGGCTGATCCATGAGCTGATGCTGTGGATGTGCTGGTGCGATGCAAAGCCCTCTGTGTGGCCTCGTGTACACAGAACCATAGAACCATAGAACAGTCAGGGTTGGAAAGGAGCTTAAGATCATCGAGTTCCAACCCCCTGCCATAGGCAGGGACACCTCGCACTAAACCATGGCACCCAAAGCCTCATCCAACCTGTACATCACATCTGGTCAATGCTGCTGCTGGGAAAACACACCCAGATGCAGGCAGAGAACCCCGTGGCTGGGCGGCTGCGGGGAGCACAGCTGATGGAGCCCTTGAAGGTGTTGATGACGGTAATGGGTCATTAGCGGGGTTATTGATGGTAAGGAACAGGCTGTGCAGGGAGTGAAAGGCAGTGGAGAGGCTGGAAGAGGCTTGGGAAGGTGATGGGAGCAGAGAGAGAAATTGGTGGAAAATGAGTGGGAACAGCAAAAAACAACAACGCGAGGGAGCTTAAATCTCCTCCAGCTCCAACCCCTGCCAGGGCAGGGACCCCTTCCACTGGAGCAGCTTGCTCCAAGCCCCTGTGTCCAACCTGGCCTTGAGCACTGCCAGGGATGGGGCAGCCACAGCTTCTCTGGGCACCCTGTGCCAGCGCCTCAGCACCCTCACAGGGAAGAGCTTCTGCCTAAGAGCTCAGCTCAGTCTCCCCTCGGGCAGGTTCAAGCCGTTCCTATGTCCCCCACATCCTCCCCCACACCAAGCCAGGCAGGATCTGTGTGTTCCTCCCAGGAACAGGGGCTCCAACCAGAGCCGGGCTGTTGGCTCCTCCAGCCCCAGCATCTCCTGCCGGGGGCATTCACCATCCCTTCTCCTTCCAAGCCGCCCCTGGGTCCCAAGCCTGGGATCTGATGGAACAAGCATCGGTACGTGTCAGCTACCACAAGGGCTCCATGGAGGTGAGCGAGGATCCCGCAGGAGGCTCCTGTCAGCAGCTTCAAGGAGGTGAGCGCATCAGCAGGGGCAGCACGAGGGAAGCCAGGCTCGGGCTCCTGAAGCCCCTGACTCTGTGTCATGCACCGGGCCTGGGGCACACGGTGCTGTGCGAGAAGAGGGGTACAGCTGTATCTCCAGGGATACAGCTGAAGTCACGATGCCCCCCGCGCGCACCCTTTGGGTTGCTATAGCAGAGCCATCACACGATTGAGAGCTGCTCTCGGCCTTCAGGGCCTCTCCTTCCTCACCCCACTGACATCAGGGGCTCCAGATGCCCCTGACCCTGTGTCATGCACCAGGCCTGGGGCACACGGTGCTGTGCAGGAAGAGGAGCCAATTACATTGATTAAAAGCTGGCTGGAGCACAAGAACAGGAGCGGAGCTGCCAGCCGGAGGCGCGGGTGCGGGCAGAGACATCGGCACATCCATGAGCCTTATCCAGGGCCTTTCCCCCTCCATCTTGAACAAAGTAACCTCAGAAAGGGCTCTTCTTGGTGACCCCAGAGCTGGAAGGTGAAGCTCATATTCCGTTTGGACCAGCATCAGTTCAGCTCCTGCTGCTGTTCCCAAAGCAGAGCTTTCCTCGGAGGCACGGCACAGTTCACACTGGTGGAGGTAACTGCAGCCTCTGCAGGTGATTTACACCCAGACCAAGTCTTTAAACTACCGATGGGGCTTGGCCATGGGGCTGCACCCAAACCCACTCGGAGGATCCCAAGATTTGGAGGGAAATACAAAGATTTCCAAATTGCTCCAAAATCCAACTGTTTTGCTGAGAATCGAGGGTTTGGGGTCGTTGTTGTGTGTCCGTCCCTCCCCCCTTTTGCACCTCTCCAGATGTTAATTCCTCTTTTGATTCTCACCCCTCTTGGCTCCCTCAGCTTTCCCAGCCTGGATTCTGCTTCCCAAGGGATGGATGTGAACACCTCACCCAGGGGATGCTCTGGCACTGGGTTCACTCCACCCTGCCAGGACCAGGAGCTTGGTGGCTCAGGGGTGGGTTCGGATGGAACCCACCTTCACCCCTCCCCGAAACAGGGGATCCCCACGTGTCGCATCCCTTCCTCCCCCTGCCTCCTGCAGCCCATGCTCCCCAGCCAGAGGTGTCCTGGTCCCCAGCTCCAGTGGGTGCAGGGGCTCAGAGACAGGAGGACCCAGCCCTTGGGCACAGCACCCAAGGGGGATGCCACAGTGTCCCTTTGCAGGGGAGGATGTGCAGGACGGCACCCAAGGGGACAGAGACCCGTGCCAGTGCTGCAGGGGATCGTGTTCCTGCCATTCCAAGGGGCTGCTCCCGGTTCCTGGCATGCTCCAGGCTCTTCCCTGCACGAGTCGGGTATCGATTCCCTCCCTCTGCCCCGGTCTCATGGTCTGTGTCACCACCACAGCCCCAAGGGACAGCAAAACCCACACTGCTGAGGGCGCAGAGGCACTGCAGGGCAGCCCCACAGACACCCGACCACCGGGAGCCATGGAAGACCCTCGGCATGATCCAACCCTATCCTATGGAGGAAGCACAGCAGCTCTCGTGTGCCTGCAGGAGGGACCCACAGCTCCCGGCGGGATCCATGGATTCAGGCTGGAGGGGATGAGCTGGAGCACTCTGCTCTCCCTCTGCTCGCAGGGACACTGAGGCCACAGTGCAGGGACACCCCCGTGCTCTGGGTACCCCTGGAGCCGGACCGCGCTCCCAGTGCCAGGCTCTTACCCAGACCCGGGAGTCTCCTCCTGTGATGCACTCAGGGAATCCTGGTTTTCCAGCGGCTCCGGCCGGGAAGCTCGCCGGTTACTGTATATGGAAACACAACAGCACCAGCAGCCAGGGCCGCTGGCCACGAGCCAGGCCGAGGTGCCACCGCTGCCGTGGTTATTCCTCTATGGAGCGGGCAGCCCGCGGGACATTGCCCTGCGCAAGGACACAGCCGTGTCCCCAGGCTCTGCGGGCATCCCTGCTCCCCTGCCCCGCTGCAATGGAGACAACGTGGACCCACACGGACACCACTTTTCCCCCCTCGGTGACCAGCGCCTCTCATCCCTGCTCCTGGAGCGCTGGATGCTGCCCAGAACGGGAGCATTGGACGCTTCACTACATGGATGGAGGATTGGGAAGGGCGGGAGGGGGGTGAAGGAGGGAGCTCAGGTGCTCCCTGCTCAGCATCCCAATCCCCACAGGTGGGAGCACCGAGCAAAGCGCGGGGAAAGGCAGTTTTCCTAAAGGGAACCTAAAGCCAGCGCTGCTCCAGGAGGCTCCGCAAACCTCCCCTCGCTGCAAGCGGGCACCGGACTCAAAGCACCGCCGCAACCCCAAGCCTGAGCTCTGCTCCTGCGAGCCCCGGGACGAGCCCCGCTGCAGAGCCCGCGGGATCCCGGCTCCCCTTAAACCGAACCGGGTCCACGGGGATCACCCCCCCATCCCCAACCCGGGGCAACCGTACTGCGCCGGGGGCTCGACCCCGGGGGTGAAACCTGGGGCAGGGGAAAGCGGAGGGGACACCGGGGGGTGCCGGGGGATAGGAAGGGGTTTCCGGGGGCATACCGGGGGGGTACCGGGGGTTGCGGGTGCGACACCGGGGGGATGCCGGGGACCCCTCCCTACCTGTCTTGCCCACTGCGCTCTGCCCCAGCACGACGAGGCGCAGGCTCCGGGCCGGGCTGAGGCTCACGGAGCGGCGGAGGGGCCGCGGGAAGCTCATCCCGGGGCCGGGGCTCCGCGCTCCCCGCTCCGGCGCTCCCCGCTCCGGCGGCTCCGCCCCGAGGGCCGGGCTCCTGCCCAGCGCCGCCTCCTCCTCCTCCTCCTCCTCCTCCTCCAGCCCGCGATGGGGCGGGGCGGGCTCCGTGCCTCAGTTTCCCCGCACGCAAACAGCTCCGGTTGCCGCCTCCGGCCCCTGCCCCTCCGCCAGCCCCAGCCCCAGCCCCAGGAGCTGCTGCCCCGAGCGGGGCAGGGAGGGAAGAGCGGAGCGGCCCCAAACCAGCGCCCCAAGGGGGGAGCACGGCCCGGGACTGCCCCCCCCGGCCTGCGCGAAGTCGCTCCCGTGTGCGAGGGGCGTTAATGAGGACGAGCCGGAGCTGGCTCGGCCCCAGCCCTTCCCTCGCTCCGTGCTCCGGGCACAGCGCGGCCCCAAACCCAGCCCAGCGGCTCCGCGCGCTCCGAGCATCCCCCAGCAGGAGGCAAGGAGCGAACCCCGGCTCTGCCCAAACCAGCGGCTGAACCCCTCATTGTGAGAGAGACCCTGAGGGGCTGGAGCGGGGCCAGAGCAGGGAACGGAGCTGGTGCAGGGCCTGGAGCCCAAGTGTGATGGGGAAGGGCTGAGGGACCTGGGGGGTTCAGTGTGGAGAAGAGAAGGCTCAGGGGGGACCTGATGGCTGCCTCCAACTGCCTGACAGGAGGATGGAGCCAGGAGGGGCTGGGCTCTGCTCCCAAGGAACAAGGGATGGGACAAGAGGAACCGGCCTCAAGCTGCACCAGGGCAGGGTTAGATGGAGCTGAGGAACAGTTCCTGCCCCAGAGGGTGCTCAGGCATTGGAACAGGCTGCCCAGGGCAGGGCTGCAGGCACCGGCCCTGCAAGTGCTCACACCCCGTGGAGACGAGGCCTCGGTGCCATGGGTTAGGGGTGGCCTGGGCAGTGCTGGGGTAGGGGTTGGACTGGATGAGCTGGAAGGGCTTTCCCAGCCAGGCTGATTCCATGACTCTGTGATATCCAAGCGCTCAGACCTCACAGCTTTACATGTGCTTTGGGGCAGCAGCACTGGGGGGCTGTTAAACACCAGTGCAAGGCCTCCCCCAGGAGCACAGGGCTGTGTCCATGTGTACACACACGTGTGCATGCAGGTAACGTGTAACGGGTGCGTGCTGGCACTGACATCCTGCTGGAAACAGGAGAAAAGACCTGGAACATCCCAACAGGATGGAGCCTGCCTGTGCAGCGTGGATGGCACCAGCACTGCGAACCCAGCAGCACAGACCCGTACCAGCACAGGGGTACGGCACAGGCAGTGCCTGCCCTCGGGATGCGGCCCCTTTTCCAAGGGCTTTACCCATCCCTGGCACGGGGAGCTCTGGGTGACCACCTCTGGTGCCCCGGCTCACAGCAGGGCACAGCGCATGCGTGCGGCCCTGCACGGAGCTCAGGGTAACAGGAGCCCAGAAGTATTTATGGACCATATCATGTGTCGGATGTTCCTGCGGTGCGTGCCTGCAGGAGACCTGAGCACGCAGGCAGCACCCACAGGGCCGCCATCTCCAATGGGACATGGGAAGCTCCCGCTCCATCCCCAGCGCGGGTCCTCCTGCGCATCAGCCGCTTAGCATCGTGTTCCCAGTGCTGATGGGAGGCACGTCCACGCCTGGCAGCATCTGGAGCCCAGAAGCAGGAATAAGAGCAATAAACTCCGCTTTCAGGACACAAGCTGATTCCCAGCTGGGGAGTGACAGGAGAAAGAAGGCTCCGTTATGTTCCTGTCCTATTTTTAGCCTGATTTCCTAAGGAAATGAGATGTCTGCAGTCAAGTTCTGTCTCGCCTGCTCCTCTTTAATACTGGTTTTGGGTACACTCATCATGGAATGGATAAGGGGAATGGCTTGAACCTGCCCGAGGGGAGACTGAGCTGAGCTCTTAGGCAGAAGCTCTTCCCTGTGAGGGTGCTGAGGCGCTGGCACAGGGTGCCCAGAGAAGCTGTGGCTGCCCCATCCCTGGCAGTGCTCAAGGCCAGGTTGGACACAGGGGCTTGGAGCAAGCTGCTCCAGTGGAAGGGGGGTGATGGAGACACAACTTTATCACCTGCAGTCGCTGAATCAGCCCCCTCCAGTGTAACCAGGCCCCTGCGGCGGTGCCGGGGGAAGAGGTGAGGTAGGTACCGGTTCCTGTTGACACAGCTGTGGTCAGGCCATTCCCTGCTTGCCGGGGTCTGGAGATGTGGAGCCTGCACCGGGAAAGAGGCCAAAGGCACCCATGAATCACGGCCCTGCAAATGCAAACCCAGCAGAAGGGAAACGCTGCCCTAAAGCAAAGAACCAAATCAGCTCAGGTGCAGCCTCGCATCACAGGAGGCCTGCTCCGCGGTCCAGGCTGGATCCCTAGGGGATCATCGGCTGGTTTGAGAGCTCCCAAAACAAGCTCAGCTTCGCTGCTCCTGAGAGGGAAGCGGGATGCTTGGTTCATTCTTTGCACAGGGAAGCTAAAATGAAAGCTGGTCCCTTTCCTCTCCATTAGAGGACCTGAAGGTGCAGGGCGCTGATGGAAACCAACCCAATCTCAACCTGGCTTTGGAGCCTGCACCCTGTTCTCACAAAGGATCGTGGTATTCCAAAGCTTTGGTCCCACAGCGTTTAGTTCATCTCCTGAGCATCCCCTCGAAGGGCTGATCCCCCTTTCCAACCCGTGTGTCACATTTAGCCATCACCCATTAATGACCATGCAGACGTTGCTCCCATTAAGACAAGACCCCACGGCGGCAGGTCTCTTGGGAGTTCATGCTGGATGGGGCCACCAGGGAATGCTCTCCAGGGATACAGCTGAAGTCACTCTGCCCCCAGTGCACACCCTTTGGGTTGCTATAGCAGAGCCATCACACGATTGAGAGCTGCTCTCGGCCTTCAGGGCTTCTCCTTCCTCACCCCACTGACATCAGCCCCTGCCATGGCTCCAGCGGGGACACAGATCCCGATCCCGGCCGCTTCTCCATGTTCTATAAATAGGGATTGAGGAACCAGATGGGAGCAGCTTGCACTGGGTCTGGCTGCCTGCTGCCTGCTCCGGGTGGCCTCAGCGCGGCCCCATGGGGACCTTCCCTTCCCTTCCCTTCCTCTTCCTCACAACGGGGCTACTTTACAGGGCAAGAGAGACTCGGACCCCGGGGCAGGACACGGGGCCGGCTCTTACCCTGCTGCTCCGCCCCGGCCCTGCTGCAGCGCTTTCACTGCCAACGGGTCCGGCTCCACCTTAGAGCCCGAAGACGCCTTCGCGAAGCCGATGGGGATGAGGGCACAGCACGGGGCGGGTGCAGAGCGGCTCCCTCCCACCCCGGAGCCCGAGCACCGCGGCCTGGGAAGCGCTGGAGCTGCTGTGCCCTCATCCCGGTGGACGGCGGCAGCTCCCGGTGAGCGCGGAGCGGCTGCAGGGACCGCAGCCGGGTCCCAAGGGGGGGTTTCAGCCCTCCCGGTTCGCCGGAGCGAGGGCCCCGGCACTCCCCGCGTCTGTTGAGCTCCGCTGGGCTGCACAGACCCCGCTGCTCACCGCGGGGAGCTCCAACCGCGAGGAACGGAGCACAGAAGGCTCCTGAAGGCGAGGACGAGAACCTCGCCATGGGGGGGTTAAAACTCCCCCAGCCAGAGCTCTGGGGCTGCGCTGCAGGGAGCTGCCCCGCAGGACCATCAGCACAGGCCGGTCCCCTGCAACCTCAGCGATGGTCTCCTGGTTCTGAGTGCGCTCACGGGGATGCGGAACCCAAATCCCAGCACCCTGAAGCTGCAGACTTCGCACCCGTGGTGCCAGGATCGCTGCCTCCCGTTTAGGAGAGCAGCGTCAGCCTTTAGATGGTTGAAACCCGCATCCAAACCAGCTCCTGAAGCCTCTTGGGGGAAGGGAAAAAGAACTGCACAAGAATCCCAGCCTGGTTTGGGATGAAGGGAGCTTAAAGCTCCTCCAGCTCCAGCCTGCTATGGGCAGGGACCCCTTCCACTGGAGCAGCTTGCTCCAAGCCCCATCCAGCCTGGCCCTGAGATGAATTAAAGGCCACAATGAGTTAAGGCACCACCACGGTCCATTGCCCTGCAAGGGGTGAGGGATGAGGACGTGGCCGGGCTGGCCCTCACGGATCACTGTGCAGGAGCACATCCTGCTCTGCCATGCCGTGCCCGTGGGGAGGGATCGACCAAACACCCCCGGCTCTGCTGGAAAGGGAACAGGAGCGGGACAGGGGTGCCCTGGGCTCCGCACCCCGGGATCCAGGGGTCTGCTGCTCCCAGGTTCTGTGATGGAAACAGGGGGCATGGAAGCGATGTGGGGCCCCTGGACAAGCCCCTCCTCAGCTCTGCCCGCCAGGAGACAAGCCGGTCCTGCTGCAGGGAATGCTGGCGCTGAGAGCCCCTCATCCCATAGGAGAGTGCAGGGTTGGGGCTGGGGCTGGGGCTGGCAGCACCCGGAGAACCCACAACATCCAGAGCCCTTGTGGCCGGGGCAGGGAGCAGGCGCTGGAATCCGGCTCCATCCGCTCCTGCTCTCCCTTGGGCAGTGGAGCCCAATTTACACCGCATCAGACAGCACCGGGGGATGCCATGGGGACAGACACCCAGGGTGGCTCCTGTCTGACCCGTGTGGATGCTGAACCTCCAGACCCAGCGCAAAGCACCTCTCATAGACCAGGACCTGACGTCTGCCCAGCGAGATGGTTTGTCCTAGGGGATGAACCTCAGCTCCGAAGCAGGGCCTGGGGAGAAAACCAGTGCCTCTCTGTTGAGAAAGTCCTGTTCCTATGTATTTAAGTGGGGCAGAACCAGCAGCCAGAGAGGGGATCCCCATCAGCCACCCCGACACGTGAGGCCAAAGGGAGACTTGTGACTTCCCTGTGCAGAAGGATTAAGGGATTGGAGCCAAAGGGAGACCTGTGACTTCCCTCTGCAGAAGGATTAAGGGATTGGAGCCAAAGGGAGACTTGTGACTTCCCTCTGCAGAAGGATCAAGGGATTGGAGCCAAAGGGAGACTTGTGACTTCCCTGTGCAGAAGGATCAAGGGATTACCAAAACACCCCCAAAATCAAGGG